AACCTCTGCCAATATTTTCTATGATTTCGAAGGTATAAAAAGAGATGTTTTGGCTGCCGGTTGACACATGAAAATACTAAATGTTCTCTCAATAAACAGAGCAATACTCGATTAAATCATAGAGCATTGGTGAATACAAAAAAAGAGACATGAGGCCAGCTACTATGGCAAGGGAGACAGATCCATTGCAGGGAGTTCTGTCTGAAGCATAATTAGGTCTCGATCCAGATACGGGAAGACCGAGAATACATCCAGACATTCTACATGAGATGCGTCAATCTCTATGGTTCAGGATTTGGCTGAAAGGAAAGTGCGGGAGCTAAGAATTCGAAAACAGGTCAACGATCTTGAGAAAGATCCTGTGGGACGAAGAAAATACCTGTTGTTGGAAACTGACCAAATGATGCGCATGGAAGTTGATAAAGAGAAAGGAGTTGCTAATGAGATAAATGAACAAGAACAAAGCACGGCTCAGTATTGGAATTCTAGTATTGTGAATTGTAATCAAAGTGGTAATAAAGTAATGGGGGATGCGATTAAGGCTACTCTTAATATGGGTATGGGACACAAACAAACTGATAAGGAGAAGAATATGCTATTGCTACAATTGCTTAACCCACAAGCAGGAGATCGAGGACACGGAAAAGGGGGACTAGAGAGATCTGAGGATCAAGTTGATCAAGATCAGAGATAGTCAAGGCTGAATGAAGGTATTGTGCACATGCCTGTGACTAGAAACGATATGCAAAAAGTTTTGGATGGTGATATGCAAGCGTCAAAAGGGATAGTATCTTGCGTAAGGAAGATGGTGTAAAGGGTGATAACTTAATGATGTTACCTTTCGTGGTTGGTTCTGTTATGGGGACAAGTAAACAGAGATCAAGCCAAGCCTTATGGACATCGTCTGTTGGGTCTCAACTCTCAGACTAGGTCAAAAACAAGCTCATAGAAACGTAAGAATGTTAAAGTCATTGGAAACAATAACGAAAGGCATACACCAGTTTATGTAGAGGAGGGAGAAGTAACCAGTTCGAAGAGAAAATCTCAGGATGAAGCTACAACATCATCTAAAATTGCAAAGCGCGTAAACTAGAA